ATGTAGTGTTGGTAAATACTCATTAATCCATCTTTTCCAGAAGTTGTCTATAGTTGTGTATATTGTCTTTAACTATAGGGTTTGCTGTTATACATGGATTGGGACGCAATAGCAACAGGTCATTCGGAGTGATAGGTCTTGCGTCGCATGGATCACTGGACGTTTTAAATAATGGTCTATCATTCAGAATTTTCTCTACCTCTGCCAAGAATGTTAATAGAGTCTCATCATCTAACAGCTTATTTCCCAGTAGTGAGCGAAGAATCTTTCTAATTGAACGGATCATTCTTTCCCAAACTCCACCTGCATGGCTGGCTGCTGGTGGATTGAAGTGCCACTGTATGTTTCTTCGGCGAAAACTATCAATTATTCGCTCACGGTTCCACCTTGTAATGGATTGTTTTAGCTCTAATTCTGTCCCTTTGAAGTTCGTACCATTATCACTGTAAAGGTCTGTTGGTGGTCCTCGGCGACTAATGAACCGCCATACAGCTTGAATGAAGGAGTCAGTTGATAGTTCATGAGCGACTTCGATATGCACAGCACTGATAGCCAAACAGGTAAAGACACATCCATAGCGTTTTGTTGTACCACGTCTCCATTTAACTAACACTGGCCCAAAGTAATCTATACCAACTGAGGAGAATGGTGGGTCACCAGGTGTCACTCTTGCTCCTGGAAGTGGTGCCATAATTTGTTTACTCGGCTGCGAATTCCAACGTCTACATGTTATGCATTTACTCGTCACACATCTCACTGTAGAATAACCCCTGATGATCCAAAATTGCTTGTGAATACCTGCCAATACATGATTTGCACCTACATGACCTTCCTTATAATGGTAATGGTGTATGACCAGTTCTGTCACATGATGATTTGAAGGCAAGATGATAGGCTGTATAAACTCAACATTCATTGGAGCATTGGCAAGTCTTCCTCCTACACGTAAGATACCATCAATTAACATGGGATTCAATTTACGTAAAGGGCTAATATATCCATCAATATCTGGCTGCTTCTTTAAGTTTGCCATCTTCTTCGGAAATGTTTGTTTCTGAACTAATTTCACTATTTCGTTAACAGCTGGTGATAGTTCTGCCACAGTTATTGGTCCTCTGATGGTTGTGTGCTTATGTTTTCCAGAATTGAACATTAGGTAGCTTTTATAGCGAAGCAGCCATGCAACTGAGATCTGTAATTTGTACCATGATGAAAACCTATGGAGTAACAAGTTCACAACATCATTCTCTGCTTTAGTATTCGTATGCATTGCACAGATTTGGGATTTCTTACTTTTTAATTCTTTGTCATTCGCAGAAATTTCCAATAGGTCATCAGGTTGCAATGGCCAATTGGATTGTTGTTGCCATAGAAATTGGGGACCTTTGAACCATTGCTGGAATAGTTTATTTTTTACTTCGGCAACACGGATTCCACGAGAAGCTTGGTCAGCTGGATTGGACCCAGAAGAAACATAATACCACTGCGATGGGGTAGTCTATTCGCAACGAAGGTGTGAAACCTTTTATCTGAATTACGAATGTGCTGAATTACAATCGTAGAGTCTGTCCGAAAGAATACTCTATGTATAGGTAGTTGCAGTTCACTTTGAATTTGTCGACTAACCTTCACAGATACAGTTGCTGCCGTTAACTCCAATCTAGGGACAGCCGCGGTTTTAAGAGATGGGACCCTCGACTTCCCCATTACAAGACAACAGTGAATTTCACCATTAGCATTTATAAGGCGGAGATATGAGATTACTCCATATCCTGCTAATGATGCATCAGAGAAATTGTAAAGTTCAGCTGTCTGTAGTTTACCAAACCAAGTTGGCTTATAACATCTATAACTTCCTATAAGACAAAAGATTGTCTTTCCACTTTCTCCACACAGTTAGTTGTTCATCTGGTATAGGATCATCCCAACCCTGTCCAATTTTACACAAATCTTGTAGAAGTTCTTTGCTGGCATAACAATGGGAGCAGCAAACCCAAGTGGATCATAAGCTATGTAAGACAGGATTTCTCTTCACGTTTCGGTATTGGGCTTGTCACTAATTCGAAAACTGAATGCGTCTTTTTCCACATTCCACTGAATTCCAAGTGCTCTATCAATAGGAAGGTTTTCAAGATTCAATTTTACAACTGATGGAGCTCGTTCAGTTGGACATATCATAGCCAATATTTCACGCGAGTTAGAGATCCATTTCGTCAAGTGGAATCCACCTTTCGCTAACATAGCAGATAAATGATTGACTAGTTTCACAGCCTCTTCTATTGTTGCAACAGATTTTAAACAATTGTCTACATAAAAGTTTCGATGTACTGTATCAACCACCTGTGGGTCAAATTCAGCTCTGTTGTCATCTGCAGTTCGTCTTAAAGCATATGCAGCACAACTGGGTGAAGATGTTGCACCAAAGGGGTGTACTAACATCTGATATTCAACTGGCTTATTTAACGAAACAGTATCATCCCACCAGAGAAATCTCAATGCATCACAATCTCTTTTAGCTACTCTCACTTGATGGAACATTTGCTTGATGTCTGCTACCATTGCTATTGGTTCTTTCCAAAACTGAAGCAAGACTCCTACTAATGAGTTATTCAGGTCGGGACCTTGAAGTAGTTGATCATTCAGGGAAGTGCCTTTGTATTTTGCCGCACAATCAAACACTACTCTTTCTTTATCAGGTTTTTGTGGATGGAGTACAGGATGATGAGGTAAATACCACACAGGTCTATTTGTAGTGTTTAATAATTCAACGTCAGGTATTTTCCTGGCATGGCTCTGAGCAATATAATCATCTACTGCAGACTTATATTTGTGATGTAATATGGGATCTCTTTGTAGTGGAAGTTTCAGCAAGTTTAGTCTTTTCTCAGCAGATGGCTTATTGTTTGGTAAACATGGGTCATCATATCGCCATGGCAGTGCCAACTGTGTCAACCAGAGATTCGCTGAAATCTGCATTATACATACATTGCAGTTGTGACGAGATAGACCCTAAAATCTGAAGTGGGGAATCACACTTAAGGGCTTGATCCACCTGAATAAAATGTATACAGGACTCTGTAATACAACTTGAATTCTGTCTTCCTTTTTCACTCATTAGACCAATAACTGAACAACCTAATATTGTATGTATGGCATATGGTTGTTTTTCTTACCACGTCTTTCTTCCAAAACCCAGTGTGCTTCTGGCACATCATTACCAATCAATATTGTAACCTGTTTATTTTCTATCTCTAACAAGTCAATGTTATGCAAATGAGACCATCTCGCTACGTCTTTCGTTGTCGGAATGCTTTTCTCAGCTATAGGCAAATTATCAGTTGTCCATACTTAGTCTAAGTACACACCTTGGTTTGAATGTAGAGATTTCATATGTAGCTGCACTTCACGTCCATTCTTTTTTACATCGTTATTTAATGTACATAGGGTATAGCTGATAGGCTTACCGTCTAACTTTAACTTATCTGCTAGACTATTCAGGCAAATTGTATAATCAGAGCCATTATCTAAAAATGCATAGGTCTCAACTTCTGGTCCCCCATTTGGTGCACTAACTTTGACAGGAATGACTTGCAGGGCAATACGTGGTTGATTAATTCTTACTGCACCACAGCGTGCCTTGCTACTAGCCTCATTACTAGCTTTTGGATCATGCATACAACCAGTAACAGTGTCATTATAATTAACAGGTTGCTGTTTTGTATTTGGTCGTTCTACTAGAGGTGTTTACTTGTTGGCAATGGAGATGTTAAGGGATGCAGTAAGGGGTGATGGCGTCTTCTACAACCCAGTCGACGGACAGAAATGTCCACTCTGACATGATCGTGCAAAATGGGGTGGGTTTGCTTCAAGGCAACAGTCACACAATCTCTGATTGCGCACAAAGTATTTCTTGTCTTGAAATGTTTTGTAGGAAAATCTATGGCATCTTTGCAACTTGTGATTACCCTTGCAATATATGCATTCGGGCTTACTCTCACCTTTAGTATTATACATCTCTGTATTTGTATTTGTATTGTATGATCTCGTTTCAGAATTAGCTTCATCCTGAAGCTGCTGTGTTGCTAATGTAGTGACTTTTGCAGTCGATTGAACCACTTTATCCTTAACCTTGAATTTGGTGTCCTTGACCCCATCTGGTTTAGACCCAACCAATTTTCCAAACCTTGTATTGGCAATGGCTTACTTCCTTTCCAGGAATTCTGTCAAGTGTAGGAATTCAGGTTCAACCCCAGAACTAATCAGTTTAATGACTTTCTCGAGTGTGTCCATCGAGTTAATATCTGCTTTGAAATTCATTTGTTCAGAACACAGATGGCAATTCTTCATATCTCGTGCCAATTGCAAAAGCTTATCAATTTCTTGAGCCTTTACCTGCTGACCCCTCACCACCTTGTCTATTGTTGCATGTACGATGTTGTGTTTTTGTCCAAAGTTTCTTTGTAGGATTTTGCGAGCCTCTTGGTAACCCTGGTCAGGTGGGAGTATGACACAATTTTGAATAGCTTGCTTTGCTATTCCAGTACAATGCTGGATCAAGTAAGACAGTCTGACATTGTCATCTTTAATCCTTTCTTCCACGTTAACTGCAAAGTTCCTTATAAGTTGTTACAGATTTGAGATGGTTTTCAAGTGCTCTTTACATGACTGGAAATATTAATCAATTGTCTCTGATTTAGTTTGTTGTTGTAAACCAGAAAGCACATCTGAAATAGCATTTGAATCTTCAATATTCAGCACTTCAAATGCTGCCTCATTTACCATTCTTTGAGCTTCAAGTATTGTCAGTTCAGCCTCGTTTTTCTGCTGTTGAACTTTAATATGTTGTTCCTTTTGTAAAAGTTCCAAATCACACTGAGCTTTCACAAGTTTCAGTTTTGCTTTTCTGGATGCTGAACTGGACTTGTAAGTACTTGATTTATTTCTTCCCTTCGAACACTCGCGACTACCAAACACTTGACTACCTGCCTTACTTCCCATAAACTCACCAATATCACTCAGATTTCTCTTCGGAGAATGTAAATGTTGAGAGACCATGAAAGGAAGAACTGTAGTGGGTTCGTCAGCTGGCACCATTGGCACATTAGTGTCTTGTGGAAAACCATGTGCTCTGTGTTCATATGGACACTTAGAAACATGTAATCATGAAATCTTTTATCAAAATGTTCCTTTCTCTTGACTTGTTCATCATACTCAGATTCTACTACACTTCAAGATGAGGGAAGTAGAAGTTGCCGGTACTCTGTACATGACTTTGTATAAGATTCAAACAATTTCTCTAGTGCCAATCTTCTACTACTCAGTTCATTATATGAAACCTCCCTATCCATCATAGTATATAGTTCATTGTACACCCTTGTAATATGTCCATGATACGCAGTTGCAGATCCTTTATTTATCTCTTGGAATCGTGTGGCGTCCTCATGCACCTCATCATCTGAATTGTCACTAAACTGAATTAAATGGTGCATTTTCCACGGTAATTTATTTGGGTGTGTACGTAAAGTATGATTAATAGTATTATATTCGCGCTCAAAACTACAACACACGGAACCCAGGAGTAGATATAGTACCAATACACAGATAGCCATAAGGTATTCACATCATTGTACATACCTTAGCATAAAACAACACCTCCATCCTGGGACCAGCAGTATAACACCAGTGGATATTCTTCCATGAACGAATATATTCAAGAACTATGTAGGATCCAAAACCCTACAGAGGTTTACAAGTATAATGACAA